AACCAGAGCCCAGAGGATGAAACCAGGAGCTGAGAAGAACCATTCCTAAAAAGCAAAATTGTGCCTTATCAAGGAACATTCCCTGCCTGGAGTCAGAGAAATTGGGACATGTGCCAGGCTAGATTTTTCAGAATTGTTATAAATCAGTGACTGCTTGTGTCTCCCTTTCTCTCTCTTTTTACACAGGGAAGTCAATTGTAGTTTTTCTATCTCTTTCATTATTATATGATGGGTGGGTGAGGGACAGATAACCTGCCCCTTGCTGTTCTCTGCACTAGAGGAAGTGCATGTAAGAGACTGCCCCCAGGGAGCCCCATCCAGACCAGCGCCTGATTTATGGACAACATTCTGGGTTTCAAACTGATGCCATATAGGGCTGAGATTTGTAGGGGTAAGTGTATTTTTCACATAGAAGGGACATGAATCAGGGATGCCTGGGTGGCCCAGTTGGTTAAGCATCTGCCTTCAGCTCGGGTCATGATCCTAGGGTCCCTGGGTCGGGTTCTCTGATCAAAGCGAAGTCTGCTTGTCCTTCCCTATCTTCCCCTCCCCAGCTCATGCTCTCTCTTTCTCTCTCAAATATATATAATCAGAAAGAAAGAGAAAGAAAGAAAGAAAGAAAGAAAGAAAGAAAGAAAGAAAGAAAGAAAGAAAGAAAGAAAGAGGGACACCAGGGTGGCTCAGTCGGTTAAGCCACAGCCTTCAGCTCAGGTCATGATCCCAGGGTCCTGGGATCGAGTCCCACATCGGGCTCTTTCCTCAGCAGGAAGCCTGCTTCTCTATCTGCCTCTGCCTGCCACTCTGCTTGCGCTTGCTCACTCTCTCTCTCTCTCTGACAAATAAATAAATAAAATCTTGAAAGAAAGAAAGAAAGAAAGAAAGAAAGAAAGAAAGAAAGAAAGAAAGAAAGAAAGAAAAAGAAAGAAAATGAATCATTAAAAGTCAGAAGATGGTAGCTAGTTTCCCAAATGGCTCCCAATGAACCACACCTCCCTGCATCACACCATTGTATGGACCCTTTCCTCACTGAAACTGGGCTTCCCCAAGACTTGATTTAATTAACAGAATAAGGCAGAGCTGACACTGTGCCAGCTAGGACTTTAGTTCCATTGGCCTGGAAGCTTCCACGATTTCATTTTTGGAAACCTTGAGCTTTCACATAAGAAATCTGGCTCTCCTTCTGGAAAGACCACATGGTGAGGTGACATAGAGAAGCTACATAGAGAAGGAGAGGTAGGACCACTTAAAGAGAGAAGAGGTCCAGCTATGCCAGCATCCCAGCCAAGCCTCCAAGTAAGCACAATTGCAAGAGAGACCCCAAGATAGACTAGCCAAAGAACTGCCTCTCTGAACCCAGTCATCCTACAGAAATTTGAAAGATAATAGAATGGTTGTTTTAAGCCACCAAGTTTGAGAGTAGTTTATTCGTGCAGCTATAGGTAACTAAAACAGCATCGATGGATGAATACGGGCAAAGAATACTATCTCAGGAAGTTAAATTTTCATATACTACACATAAGTTTCTTTTCTCTAAAAAATATTTGTTGAGCCCCGACACTGGTCAGCACATCCTTCTTGTACGCAGAGGAAAATGGTGTCTCCTTTGCCCCACTCATGTGCTCTCTCCTCAGAAACCAAGCTTAGATTTAGATTTAGGGAAACATCTTCAGTTGAAAGTCGACATGTTTAGTTAAAAATTTTTAAGTCTGTTTGTCACTAGCTAGAGTGTCCTCTGGCCTGAGAGGAGGTGGTTTTGATGCACTAGCAGCAGGAAACCATCACAGATGCTAGGGGGAGCAGTGACATGATGAAGTAGTATTTGGGAAGGTTCATCTGGCAGCAGCATGCAGACAGGTTTCAGGGTGTGCGAGTGGGATGATGAGGCATAAGCGCATATGCAAGCTGACCTGCATCTAAACCAGGGTAGATGGGAAAGGAGAGAACTTGATTATAGAACTTAGTGAACAATGGACAATGAAAGAGATCATGCCGAAGATTACTGAGACTGGGAGAACAACAATGTCATGAAGAAGAAGAAGAAAAGGAGAGGAAGAAGAAGGAGGAGGAGGAGGAGGAGGGGAAGAAGAAGGAGGAGGAGAGAGAGGATGAGGGGGAGGGGGAGGAGGAGGAGGAGAAGAAGGAGAAGAAGAAGGAGGAGGAGAAGGAGGAGAAGAAGGAGGAGGAGAAGGAGGAGAAGAAGGAGGAGGAAGGGAAGGGGGAGGAGGGGGAGGAGGAGGGGGAGGAGAAGGAAAAGAAGAAGAAGGAGGAGGAGGAGGAGGGGGAGGAGGAGGGGGAGGAGGAAGGGGAGGAGGAGGGGGAGGAGGAGGAGAAGAAGAAGGAGGAGGAGAAGAAGAAGGAGGAGGAGAAGGAGGAGGGGGAGAAGGAGGAGGAGAAGGGAAGAGAAAAGGAAAGGAAAGGAAAAGAAAGGAAAGGAAAGGAAAGGAAAGGAAAGGAAAGGAAAGGAAAGGAAAGGAAAGGAAGAGAAAAGAAAAGAAAAGAAAAAGAAAAGAAAAGAAAAAGAAAAGAAAAGAAAAGAGAAGGAAGAATGTGGGATAATTGGAATAAGAGTCATTCATGTATGGGAAGAAAAGATCCATCCAGATTTCGACTTACTCATTTGGACAAGAGGACAACTGAACACAGCTATTGTAGAAGCAGTTGATGGTAAAACAAACAAAAAGGCTGGAGCAGCAGACTATGGGTAAGAAAGAGGAAGAAAGGGATTCAGGAGGTCCTATGCTTGCCCCACTTGCAATGAGCATGGCTTTGCCCCACCAGCCAGTACACGGCTTGGCCCAAGTCACAGTTAATGTCTGGAACTGAGACCTGGAATTCTGGAGTCCTTTCCAGTCACCCTCCTTTCTGAAAAGATCCTAATACATCAGGGTGGTTGCAGAAACCCCAGTGGAAAGTAGAGTGCTGACAAGGAGAAGTCACCAAAGACCAGTCCTCTACAAAGGGGCCCATGATTAAGCTAGCAAATTTGAATCCAAAGCAGATAATTTTCCAGCTTCCCCACAAATTATCTTCAAAGCAGCACAGTGTCATTACTTACTGTTATGGACCAAATGTTTGTGTCCTACCCCAAACTCATTCGTTGGAGGCCTAACCCCAATGTGATGGTATTAGGACGGAGGGCCTTTGGGAGATGATTAGGTTGTAGTAATGTCACCAGGATGGAGCCCCCATGATGGGAGCAGTGCTCTTATAAGAAAAGGAAGAGACACGAGAGCTTCCTTTCTCTGCCAGGTGATGATATAGCAAGAAGGCAGCTGTCTACAAGCCAGGAAAAGAGCCCTTACCAAGAACCAAATAGTCATCACCTTCACCTTGGATTCTCAGCCTCCAGAACCTTGAAAAATGAATGTCTGTTGTTTAAGCTTCCCAGTCTATGGTATCTTACTATAGCAGCCCAAGCTGACTAAGACACTTACCCTTTATATAGATGCTGTATTCTATATGGAAGTGAACTTGGTGAACTCCCAGTAAACTCACAGTGGTTTAGACTAGTTCAAGCTCTCCTGGAGAGCAGCTTGTGTCTCCAATCTCCATGGTACTAGATATTCCTGCCTTAAAGCCATAAAGTAAAAATTAATAATGCCTATGAAGACAACAAAACAGAACTGGAGTTCCTTCTGCTTTGTCACTCTATGTGACCACTTGGAGTTTTTTATTCATGTTTAAAACTTTTAAACAGTGAAACACAGTCGCTGGAGTGATCATTTGAAAATATGCTTAAGTGAATCTGAAATCTAGATACCTCTATAATATATTCTTAAATCCAAAGTGTGTGAGGGGCTTGTGCATTTGGACTCAATCATAGCTATGTATATCATTAAATCTCAATATTAAAAGTATTCTTCCAATCCATGAGCATGCCTGTCTTTTCATTTCTTTTTTTTAAGATTTTATATATTTATTTGACACGGAGAAAGAGATAGCAGGAGAGGGAATACAAGCAGAAGGAGTAGGAGAGAGAGAAGCAGGCTTCCAGCTGAGCAGGGAGCCCCATGTGGGGCTTGATCCCAGGACCCTGGGATCATGACCTGAGCTGAAGGCAAACACTTAATGACGAAGCCAACCACACACCCTTGTTTTTACATTTCTTTGTGTCTCCCTCAATTTCTTTCATAAGTGTCCTATACTTTTCAGAGTACAGATCTTTTACCTCTTTGGTTGGGTTTATTCCTTAGCATCCTATGGTTTTGGGGTGCCATTGTAAATGGGATGGATTGAACTAGAAGGTATAATGCTAAATGAAATAAGTCAGTCAGAGAAAGACAAATACCATATGATTTCACTCATATGTGGAATTAAAGAAACAAAACAGATGAACATAGGGGTAGGGAAGGAAAAATGAAACAAGATGAAAACAAAGAAGGAGGAAAAGCATAAGAGATGCTGAACTCTAGGAAACAAACTGAGGGTCTCTGGAGAGGAAGTGGGTGGGGAGATGGGGTAACTGGGTGATGAGCATTAAGGAGGACATGTGATGTAATGAGCACTGGGTGTTCTGTGCAACTGATGAATCACTAAATTCTATTCTTGAAACTAGTAATACAGTATATGCTAACTAAATAGAATTTACGTAAAGAATTTCTTAAAAATCTCAATAGTAATGCCACCATTGTTCAGCACTTAGATAACAATTTTTATTTAGGAAGAAGTATTTTGTTATTATTGGTGGCACATGATGATAATACAAAATAGGCCAACTTCCAGTTCATTTTGTAATTTAGAAAAGTCTCCACAGAAAATGCACTGAATTAGGGGCAGCTGGTGGCTCGGTTGGCTGAGCATCGTACTCTCGGTTTTGGCTCAGATTGTGATCCTGGGGTCCTAGAATAGAGCCCCACATTGGGTTCTGAGCTCAGTGTGGAGTCTGCTCAAGATTCAATCTCTCCCTCTGCCCACCCCCCACTGTCTCTCTCTCTCTCTCTCTCTCTCTCTCGCTAAAGATGGGTAAATAAAATTTTGGGGAAAAAAGGACAACTTATTACCTGCACCAGGAGTGGACCGTTCCCACTGCCCTGCCATTGGTATGCCAAACAGAGCCTGATTCTGGAAAACAACAGCATAAGGATGTAGCACTAAACGACCTCAGTTCCTCCAGTCTGAATGACCATAGACCAGAATGCAGAGACACAGATTGGAGCAAGCACCTTCTGCATAAAATTGCACAACCCATGTGGGACTGTTTGACTTTCAGAGAAGTCAAATAACTGGCCCAAGTACCTAGTTAATGAGTAGCTACATGAGACAGACTTCTGGGACTCACCAACATCTGTCTTCTCTCTTTCTTTGGCACACTGCTAGATCCTGTTCCTTGTCCCCTTGTATTTAGGTGGGGTCATGTGACTAGTGCTAGCCAACAGAATAAGGGAAGAAGTGGTCTATGCCTCTTCTGGCCCTGGCTCCTACAACAAGTCCTAACCTCCAGATGCTCCATGCCCTTTCTCTTTTCTTGTCTCCTGGCTGGATGCCAATGGGTCCCATGGAGGGCTCAGATGAGGCACTAGGTGGAAGGAACCTGGGTCCCCAAATCTCTATGTGGACACATGCCAGTGTGATGAAACACAAGTTAGCCTATCAGGGCATGAGACGCCACACAGAGACAAGCCATCCCCCCGAACCCTCTTAGACTAGCCAGACCCAGCCAGCTCTGCAGATTCTCACATATGTATGAGACACCCAGTATATAAATATATAAATGGGTTATGACATGGGGGAGAAATGCACATTTATGATGTAAAGCTACTGAGATTTTCATGTTTTTACAGTTGTTACACCACAGAGACACAGTGCCATAGTTTGAATCAAGGCCAGTTTGACTCCAAGCCTGTAGTCCCAAAGGGCGCAGAGCATGATTGAAAACCAATCCTACCTCCTAGCCCATATTTCCCAAATTACACCTGGCTGCAGAGAAAACCATCCCTAAAATCCCATCACACACCATTCCATCTGTAGTACTAGACTTCAGGAGAACCCTTAGGAAAATATTGTGGAGCTTTTGCTACATAACAAAGCACTTCAACACCAAGTGGCTTACAGAAACAATGAAAAGAAAAAAAGCAAAGAAAAACGTAACAGCAGCTCACAGTTTGGAGAGTGTGCAGTGTGGGGCCTCCCACAGCTGAATGGTTCTTCCAATCTGGGCCAGACTCTGTTAATATTGGCTGGGCATGCATGCATCTGTCTTCAGCTGCAGAGTTGTGCGATAGCTGGCTAGTCCGTTATGGCTTGGGCGAAATGACTTACCTCTCCTCCATGCAGTGTCTCTTCCTCCAGCAGGCTAACCTGAGCTCGACGAGGTGGTGGCAGCAGCCAAGGTCACAAGAGCAGCAAGAGGAGAAACCTCAGCACACAGGTATTTCCAGTCAAATCAGAACACGTGGCTATGCCAACAGTGGCATGAGAGGGCATTATCTAATGCTTGGATACAGGAAGTGGGAGCCAATGTGGTCATCATCACAATCAATCTACCCCAAGAGCCAAGGATCACTGTTTGGGGACCAGAGCACAAAACAACTGTGTCACCGACTCTCCAGCCCTGACCTCCAAACCTCCACCAATAGTAATACGATATGGGTGGGGGGTGGGGACAGGCAACAGCATCAGTTGGCTTTTTTTGGAGTTTACTGGAAACCAAGCTTGGGAGGAAATGACCAAGTCATTGTTCCTGTGGTTGGTTTGGCAGAATTCTGGAAGCAGAGAGTCGTCTCCATCTGACAGAAGGATGGTTCCACTGGGTGTGAGAAATCTTCTTCCTGTAAAAAGTGAGTCATGATAAGAATAGAGTGCCAGACCTCCCTCGTACTCGTCAGCGTGGCAAAGGAGAATGTGACCAAATCCATGATGAGTGCACTCCCTTTCCTGGGAGGCAAGGAAGACAAGAACCTGGCAGGAGAAAGAAGTGCTCCTGGGGCGGCTGCCCCAATCTGCTCTCTGCTAACACTTCCTTTTGTCTTGATTTCTATGTTCCAAATCTTCTCCTTGTGCCTTGCTGTTGTTTCTCTAAAAATGTCTTTTACTTGGCAACATCCTAACCAAGAAAAGGAAAATATCTAACAAGAAAAAAACACAGCTTGCCTGTCATTTCAGGGACTTAGGGACAGAACAATAATTCTTTATTGTTATTACAGGTTGGATTGTGGCCCCTCAAAATTCACATGTTCAAGTTCGAACTCCCAGGACCTCAGAATGTGACCAATTTGCAAATAGGGTCATTGCAGATGCCATTACTGAAGATGGGGTCATGCACACAGAAAGAACAGACTTGAGATGATGAAGCAGAGATCGTGGTGATGCAGCAGGAGCTAAGGACCCCAACGATTGCCAGGCCACCATCAGTAGCTAGAAGAGGGGCGTGGAACAGCCTTCTGAAGAGCAAACCCCACCGATGCCTTGATCTCAGACTTCTGGCCTCCAGAACCGAGATGATACATTTCTGTTGCCTAAGCCACTCAGTCTGTGCTAATTTTTGTTATAGTAGCCCTAGCAAAACAAGACAGGTGTGAGCAACTACCTGTCATGGGCCATTTCCACTCATTTTCTGTTCCACTTCCTTGCCCCCAAGACTGTTGGCCCCACTTCCAGATGAGAACACTGAGGCTGAGCCAGCATAGTCATAAGCCAGGCTCAAGCCCAGGGGTCCTGACCCTGTCCATGCATTTTCTTTTACACAATGTTGCTGCCTACTGTTTGCTGGCAAAAGGCCGATGGCAAGCAATTCTAAAGGTAGCTAACACCCCCATTGTGCCACAGAATGGTTGCTGAAAGAATTCGATCTTAATTAATTCTTCATAAACTAGATGATATTTTAAGTATTTCCGGGAGTTCCCTATTGAAAGGAGCCCTATGGGAGAACCTTTTGTATTGCAAAGGGTCTTTCTGGGTTGTGAATGATAACCTTGCTTCCTTCTTGATTCATTTGCTTTGCAAGTGTAATTCGTTCTCATAAGAGAGGTTTTTGAGAAAGTGGGCCTGCCTTCAGTTCTGCACCTCTGCCTTGGCTGGCGGGGGCTCAGTAAATGCTTGCACTTGCCATTGTGGTGATAGCAGTTACGGGCGTCCACCAGTGGCACTGCCTTTAAATACAGGGGCTGTCTGGAATGATTTCCTCCCATTTCAAGCCGTTTTCAGCATCCTCAACTTAAAATCATTGCTTGGGTAGAAAAAGGGAAAAACATCATTTTGCTAAATGCCAACATTTACCTATTAATTACTCCCTAACTATTAGTGAGCTTTGTGTTAATTACTATTCCAAATTCCTAGGTGCTGGTAAATTAGCAGGTGCTTCATTTCCTTTCCTGGATCTGTCTTTAGGCTGCCAGGGCAGAAAGATTCCCCTCAGGAGATACATATGGCCCATCGGAGAGGGGCTGGCGGTGGCTGGAGTGGCTACAATCTTCCTACTTTAATGACAACCTCTATTTGGGAAATACAGTTTGCCAATGTTTTAGGTAACTTCCAAGGTTCTTTCCTGCAATCACTTTCATTATTAGTTAGTTAATTCACAAGCATCAAGGGAGTATCTACTAAGTGCCAGGCACCATCCTTGGCCCTGAAGATGCAGAGATGAGCAGAGGAACTCCAGCCCTGCCACTCACTCCTCACCATCTAGCAGGAAGCCACGTGGGTAAGTCAGAACCACAGTCAGAAGGCTAGAGAGCACAGAAAAGAAGAGCTACACTTTGCTGGAAATGGCAAAAACCATTTCCCAAAGTTGGCGGCATTCTCACTAAATCCGAAGGCTCAGTAGGAGTATGCCAAATGCATAATGTGATAAAGGACATTTCAAGAAGAGAGAGGAGTGCGTGTCAGAGGCAGCTCTGAGCACCTGGTGTTTGGAGACTGGTGTGTGGATAGACACAGGAGGTGATGAGGGAGGAGCAGGAAGTGAGTTTAAACCAGTTTCCTAGGGGGCAAGATCGCAAGGGAGCTTGGACATTAGTCCACAAGTAATAAGGAGCCACCAAAGAGTTTTATCCTAGAAGGGGGGACTTGATTAAATTTGGTGGCATGGAAGGTGGTCTGCAAAGTGAAGGGGCTGGAGGCAGGGAACTGAATGGGGAGACAAATACAGTAGACAAAGGTCCAATCTGGGGGAGCAGTGGGACAGAGAGAAGCATCTTTGAAGGTCTAATTGGCCTTATTAAGCAATTCATCAACTGGGCAGCATCCCACCCAACAAGCAGAGAGATACTCCAAGGAGTTGTACGAAATGGAAGGTGTTTACAGGCAGGAAGGTGGGGCAGGGAAGTTATTAGGGAAAAAAAGACAAAACAAAACGAGAGAGAGAGAGAGAGAAAGATTTGTTTCAGAACATGACATCTTCTTTTCAGAGAAGGAAACAGCAGTTTCCTTTTTTCTTTTTCTTTTTCTTTCTTTCTTTTTTTTTTTTTTTGCTATGGATAAAAATACGATTTTTAAAATACATTTTTTTTTAATTGAAGTATAGTTGACACACAACAGCGGGGGTTTTTAATTTTTTTTCATGCAGGTTACCTCACTAGTGCTGATCAGGAAATTTCTGATTAACTTTTAAAAGGTCACAGTTAAAACTGTAATTAAGTCTTAGTTTGCTATTTCCAGGGCAAAGGACACCATTCTGAGCTTGTTTCTTTTTCTTTCTTTCCTTCCTCTCTCTCTTTCTTTCTTTCTTTCTTTTTTTCTTTCTTTCTTCTTTCTTTCTCTCTTTCTTTTCTTTCCATCAAATGTACTCAGCTGAATTTTGTTTTTAACAGTATGTTTAGAGTGCAGATGTCACAAGGAAGCTTCCAGAAATGACATTTGTGCTCACTCCTTGCAGGGCGGGTTAGGACCTGCTCACTCATTCTGACCCAGCTACCGTGAGGAAGTCCCACCTGAGTCACAGAACAAGTGAGTCCCTTTTGCATTCACATGAGTGGGAAAAGCTGGCATGAGGTTTTTCAGTCAGGTTTCCAGGTACACATAACGGAACCCCCTTGGGCCACCATAAGCAGGAAACGAATTTATTAAAGGATACTGGGTAACTCAGAAAATGTCCAGGAGGGCGGGAGGGCTAGGCCTGGGAACCACAAGACTGGGATGGGCCTGGGACCACACTCCGGATGGCTTCTGAGGAGACCCCATTGAGCGGGGGCGGGGGGGGGGGTGACAGCACACAGTTCACACTCCTGACCCTGGAAGCCCCAAAGTCTCCTGCCTCCAGCAGCCCAGTGCTCCCTAGTTTCCTTCAACAGAAAGCAGTTTCCAGTGCCTGCTTCCTCAGTCCATTGTTTTCCTAATCGAAGTCTCCAGGCAGCATATCTGACTGTTGGAACTTGGGTATGTGAGTAAACCCCAGCTACAAGGAAGGCCGGAAGCCTTTCTCCTTGAGGAGGGGAGGCTTGTGTTGCAGAAAATACCCCAAACATAAGAAGGGTTTTAGAGCATGTGATTAGGAAACAGACAAATATTAGCTCCAGGAGGCTGCCATGTGAAGAAGAAGCTGGAATTAAGTGGTATCTTCCTCCTGGGTTTCGCGAATCACTGCTTTTGTAGACATTGCAACTTTTTACTTTGTAGGATAGTTCTTTTCCCCAGACTGGGAAACTCCCTGTGGCAGGTGCGGTGTCATTTTCGGCTTTGTGTGCCACTTTGCTGATGCCGTACACCCAGGAGCATCTCCTAAATGAGTGTCTCCAAGCCCACGATGACCATAGAGCCTCGGGGCTTGCTCATTCAGGGAGGCCCCGCCACGTACCTGCCGTGTCCTGACCTGTGTGGGGCACCGCAGCTGACTCAGCACCTGGACCGGGCACACGTGGGCTCGCACCCTGCAGTCACCTTCTGTGCAAAGTGCGCGGGGATGACACCTGACATGTGTCATCACGGTGATCACCCATCATCCTTATAGGAATAATCAGTTTGCCCTGGGAAAGAAGCCTTCCTTGTCATTCAAGGAGGTCAAAGCCTCCTTTGGCAGGCCACCCCAGTGGCCCCTACTTGGCACTGGTTTCCATGGACGCTGCCTCAATAAAAAGAAACCCAGAAGGAAGAAGTACTGAGTTCCAACGCCATGTAAGAAAAAGACCTTGTAGGCCGCCTAGTCTTTGAAACGAGGACTCTAGGCCTGGGGAGAGGCTTAACCCATTGGTAACTCTGTTCCCATCTGTCTTTCTGAGAGGGAATGCTCAGGGATGCTCAGCGTCCATGCCACTGGTTCTCCTGCAACCCAGGGCACTGCCCAACTCTTACTCCTCCTCCCAGCAGAGCCGCTGCCCCTGGGAGATCAGAGTCACTTCAGGGAAAGAAAGCCATCCATCACAACTCTGCCACAGACTTAATCATGATCCCAGAGGGGAGAAGTGAGGCCCTGGATGGATGGCTTCACTTCTCAGTCTTGAGTTTTAGTGTTGAGGGGTTAGGAGTCCCCATGGGGGACTTCTGGCCCGTTTCCCTGGAAACACAGGCAGAAAGAGTCTTCAAGGAAGCCAAGCAAATCCACTGACACCAGGGGCCCAGGCCCAACACCACCCGCAGACTTCAGCAACTTCCAGCAGATTGAGGTAAGTGGGTTCGCTAGAATTCAGGGTAAGTCAATGCCCCAGGTCCCAGTGATAATGGGGGCTTCTATGTCTTGCTTTAGTTAAGCTTTCAGAAGGGTACAGTGTGGACTTCTGATCTGCTGCAGTGTAGAACCGATGACACTGATTTTAGGTAGTCTCTTGCTCCTTACCACACTCCAGGTGTCCATGCTCTAGGTTTTCACGATCATGGCCCCATTCTTTTGAATCTGAGG